ACAGGTCCGATCTTGTCCTAGCAATTACGTATACATCGATTGGCTGAAATGTTCTCGAAAAACAACATAATGCAAGTATAATTGGCTGGTAATCATGTCCCCGGGTCGGATTGGTTATAATTCCGGATACAATGCACAAGTATGTCCGCAAAGTGATCATATTCACCCATATATTTCCATACTAAAAGGCCGGTTGGTTTATACTATTACTCCATCAAGTTTTCACCAATCGAAAATCTGGAGCGTAGCTTCTTTTGGGCTTGTCCAGTTCTATCGTTATTTAGTTATTTCTCCAAAAAATATCAATAAAAAGTTGGAATAGCTGTCGAAAGACAAGGCATTTTTTTGTTGATGACTTGCACTATACTGGTACTTAAGACTTACGGGACAGCATTGAATATTAATACCAACCTTGGATACTATGGTTAATATAATATAATTATTGAATTAAAAGTGGGATGACATTTGGATGACATTTGGATGACATTGGATGAAATTGGATGAAGTTGTGGGATGAAACCTAACGTAGTGAACAAGCCTTAAGTTGTCCCCGAGCGCCCGGGAGGCCGTCTGCGCAAGCGCGACCGTACGAGAGCGCGGATCTAAGCTTCTCACTTCACCGAATGATCTATCTTTTCTTCTTGTCGGGCAGCGGCAGGTAGGCCGTAGGCCGTGCCAATCCCGGACGAGGCCTGTATGCAATGACCTAGCATTATCCTAATTTACTCTTATATCTACTAATTAGGATATGACCTAATATTAATGGTGGATGACGTTGGAATGACGTTTGGATGACTATCACGGATATTTCAAATCCATATAAATAATTCATAGTACTATAAATACAGTATATTTTATCCGGAAATGCTTACTCCGAGTATTATGGACTACGTACCCCAGTACATCATCCTGAAAAACGTTCAACAAATCTGACAGTGAATACCGTTCAAACTAATAAACTCTAGTTAGATTAGGCATATTTTTTGTACTCTGACCACCTGAGCTCATACTATGGGTTAAGCGTATCTCTGTGGTTAGCGATAGCTAACCACTGGTGATGCACTTATCCCTGGGGATTTAGCATTAAACTTCGAAGTATGTGCACGCGGGGGTAGGACGAAGTCCCGGGGTTACAGGGTTACGGGAAGAAAATGTGCTTGAACGGTTTTCAGTCTTGGCTGAACAGTATCCAGATTTATTTTCTCACGAGTGGTTTTGACTTCGCTTTTGTATATAATAAATATTACAACGAGCAAGAAAGACAGACGGTCCGACGATCACTTGGTTCCTGGGAGATGCGGGAACTGACGAAAACTCATCAAAACACGAAGTATAGTATGGAACCACAAAATCGAGGCATTCATGATTGGCGAAAGCGAAACTGGAGTTTCCTCGCAGTCATCCAACTTGTTGGAGAGGGACATTGGCTGTTGTACTGTACTGGCACGTTTTACATCTGCATGTGCGATGCCTTGCATTCAAAAACTTCGCGCCGTTTCACATTGAAAACACAACAGTTCCGGATATTTCATCACTTTTGCGGATGCAATATTTTTATTGCGCATGCACATGTTTTGTGGTACTTGGACGACATGTCGACATGCGCATATATCGAAAATGGGCGAACTTTGAGGACGCTTTTCTCGAGCTGTGTAATACTTACTGCAATACTACTCGTACTACAAGATAGTCCATTACTAGCTCAGCCTATGCAGCATGGTCTGCGCATACACAGCTCACTCTGGTACGAGGCATCTTACCCGCATGTACACGCTTGTTCTTGAAATACGACGAATTTGCCAAGTTCGAAGTTGCCTTTCTCCACAGCTGTTGATTCAGGCGACATGCAATAATGTGTTCTTGATAGTATTGGTTGTTGTTATGAGGAATGGAGAGTTTCGTGACCCGTTGTGCAGTATGCATTGATAAATCGCTGACCTGCATCGCGCCTTTCCCGCATGTACGCCTGCGCAATCTGCAGGATGTATAAATCGTTTGTGCAAAACGTAAATAATTATGGAGATGAATAAAATACGCATAATATCAGCATAAATATGTTCAAGAGAATAATAATATGTAACTGTCGCACCCATCAACACTCCGTTTGATTCGGTGGAAGTGGCAGATTCAGTTCCTGGTTGACTCGCACGCGACAACTTGAATAAAGATGCATGTATCCCCTAGACAATGGTACACCACGATTTGAAGGAATCAAGGACCTTGAATTCTTCATAGTGATGTGTTTGTGTCCTGTTCCCGCATCTCCCTGTATATCCTGTCCGACTTTTTACCACTAATGAACATACTACTCTGGTCCAAAATACCTGTCGTGTTACATATTTCCGAAGGTGCAGTTTTGTTTGACTTGTAATTTGCATACGTACTAGTATTATGCAGCTCCCATCTGTCCACCAAGGTGCACATATGAATTTTTACCCGTCCTGTATAGTACTTCCATTATTTCTGATCGGGCAATACCAGTGTAAAGTACGTAGTATGACATCCAGCTTCAGTCACGAAGCGATTCTCCCTCCATCCCACAGTAACCGGGTACTAGTAGTATATAATGTTTAACACCAGTGGTTAACTTACAGTTAGCTACTATACCTGTATTGCGAACCACTGAGATGCACTTAACCCCTAGTACGAGGTCAGTGGTCAGAGTACAGTATACTAAGTCCCATATATACACCAATTTCTGAGAAAAGAAACAGTGGAACTTTTGTCGGGGAATTGTACCACCTGTAACCAATTGATTTTACGTCACGTTAACGTTACTGGTATGTATTGACGCCCACGACTTGCCTCAACAGTCAACGAAATATCGTCGCTCTCCAGTCAAGCAAATCACTGTACTATTAATAATATAACATCACTGGTACAAGGTGTACTAGCGGAGCAGTGGCATTACAGGTACACCGCCCGCCTCAATTCGGCGATTCACAGTCGGTATGAAACTGTGCAAAATGCGTTATATCCGTGCGTAAACCCAAGGTCGAGATGAGCTACGAGTCTTAAACCTATTAAACCGAGATTTCGAAAAAGCGCCAAGAATTCTGGGAAACCACATGACTTCGTACGACAGCGGATCACTTTCCCAGTTCACTGTATACATTGGTGGCATGCCAGTCCAATTGTAGCATGCGAAGCGTACTCGGTGGCCTGGCAGGATTGGCGTTATCCTGCGCTGCCTCCAATGCTGCCGATATGTTCCAGCACCTGCTCCAACTCCAAATGGACGCAGGTATCGGCCAGCACATCGAGCCATGGACGTGTGCTACCTGCATTGGCGGGTGCATTGTTCAAGGCGAATGCTTGGCATCCTCACAGGAAGAGTGCGACACTCGTCATGAAGGTGCGCAGTGGTGCGCACCTGATGAAAGTGAGTCGGACGAGATCAGGACAGAAGTCGTGAGTGAACCTACACAAGTCAACTCGATAACCCAACCGTCGCCAGTGCCAACTGCTTCGCACTTCACTCCACGACCAATATCCGAACCGACCTCGCAGGCACCAGCACATCAGCAGCCTACAACTCCTGTTCCAACCCCAGCGGCCACTCGACAACAACGTACAACTCCTCAACCAACCAAGGATTACACAAAGGACTGGTATTGCTTCCCATATCCCGAAGACAAGGCCGCCATACGGATCGATGCAAATGGTGATGTGTCGTGCTGGGCCCAAGACGGAATTAACTGCATACGAACCCCAACATGCGAAACCATGATAACGAACCCAGTTGGCCCTGCTAAGCCATTGAGCTGTGGGAGCATGCACAAACAAGTATGGGGGTCCACAGGTTACGAGACCCCCAACCATTGGTGCAGTCGAGGAGTGCACATACTGGGAGCATACCCATCCTTCGCACCTTGCCCAACGCGCTTGCGAAAGCCAGTACCAATTCAGAAGCCAACGCCAACTCCGTGTACCACTCCGCAACCTACTCCAAAGCTGACAACTCTTCAAACGCCTGCACCCACACCCCTGCCAACGCCTGCACCTACGCCGCAATCCACACCCAAACCAACGCCTGCACCCACACCCCAGCCCACGCCTGCACCTACTCCTCAACCCACACCCCAGCCTACACCAGCCCCTACACCACAACTTATACCCCAGCCAACGCCTGCACCTACTCCTCAACCCACGCCCCAGCCCCAGCACATGCATGTAATCCCCAGCGAAGGCCTGCACTCACACCCCAGCACACGCCTGCACCTAATCCTCAACCCACACCCCAGCCTACACCAGCTCCTACACCAAAACCCACACCTGCCTCTACACCTGCCCCGACATCACAATTGGCACCTGCTCGAACATCTACTCCCCAACCTACACCCCAAGGGACTCCGTCGCCTACGCTACTACCAGTCCCAACACCAACTCCATCGAATCAAAGTCGTAATTCAACATCATTCCCTTCTGCTGTGTCAGTTCTGCAGGTGACGCCGCAGCAATCACCTCCGCCACTCAACCCGACGACCCCCCTGCCAACTACACTGAATCCCACGACCCCATCTCAAAGTCCCCCAGACACTCCACGACCAAGCCCTCTAGCCACGTCAAGCACCAGCAGTCCCACGTTATCACTGACTCAAACGTCAGCTTCTTCTCCAACATCGTCCTCCCAGCAGACGTCGAGCCCACCGTCAGTCTCATCCCCCGCCAAGCTAGCTTCTCCTCCATCTTCAGAGTCACTTCCAACTGTCCTCGATGCCCATTCCACTCCAAGCGACAAGGAGTCACCCCCTGCGCGTTCTTCACGTGATTCTACTCCCTCCGACACTTCAAATTCTGACAACGATCCGACTTTCGATGCAGACATTCCGCCCCTTCGACCCTTCGCGCCTCGAAGCCCCAACTCCAATCGTAATGACGCCACAAATCAGGCCAGCACGCAGTCGTCGTCCGTCGTCGATTTGCTCGGGTCGGACGATCCAGTCAACCAAGCCAGCCGCGTCGTGTTTAACGCAGTCATCGCAGGCACGTTGATTGTCATGGTGGCGTTCCAGGTCACAGCTCTTGACCCTGTTTCCGTTGGGGACTTTGCTGGCCCCCCAAATCTGTGGGAACTGCCTGTGTTTTTCACGTTTTTGCAAAACGTGGCCATCGTCGCCATGGCGAGTATCGACTCGCCGTACGCGCCGTTTGCCCTGTTTACAGATTCGTTTTCGTGGCTCTTGTTTCTCGTCAAAGGCAGCCGTCCGTCTGCCCCATCATCTAGAGCATTGCAAACATCCTCGCACGAGGCCGCGTTTGGCATCCAGCAGTTTGCCCTCCGCCTCAACATTCCAGAAAGAGACTTGTTTGTGCGCGCGTGGACGTGCTTCTTCGTCGTCATGTCAGCGATGCTGCTTCTCCTGTGCCTATTCAACGGCCTAGCGACGTACTTCAGTCGCCACAACGGGCCCCTTCTGAGCCAAGTTGAGGACCACCCGAACGCCGACAGATTTGAAAAGTGGAGCCTCAAGGTACAAGGGGTGTTGGTGTGGGTACTCACCCAAGCGGTGCTTCCCCTCACGGCGGTGTCGGTCTTTGAAGCCTCCGTATCTCAGTCGCCTTCAGCCAGTCGATCCGTCAGCTGTGCCTTGGCCGTGGCGGTGCTCGTGGTCATCGGTGGCACCTGCGTCGGCTCATCTTTGGTCCTGTGGCGGCAGACCGAGTCCAGTCTGTCCAAGTTCCACACCAAAGCCATATTTGGGGTGCTGTACTTGAACCTGCAGTTCCCGCACCGGGCGTTCTGTGGGGTCACGCTGATGGTGCAGTTCGTGTCGGGGGCGATGATGTCTGGAGTGGGGACCCCTTCCACCCAGATGTTGTGGCTCGTCAGTGTCCACGGCCTGTACATGCTGGTGCTGGTGGTCGTGAGGCCGTTCGTGACCAACTTGCACTTGAGTGTGGCTGTGCTGGTGGAGTTGGTCAATATCGCCATCTACTGCCTCTGCTTCGCCCAAGCCAAGGCCGCCGTGGATGACATTCACACCAAGAAGACGCTTGGGTATGTCGTCATGGGTCTCGCGTGCCTGTTGGTGGCACTGTTTTTCGTCCGGACGCTGGTGAAAATCGGCAAGAAGCTCGTTCAAAAGAACGACAATGTCGACGGTTCCGATCGAAGTATTAGGCGTGAAGTGACCATGGCATCCGGTACCGTGAACGCCAGCATCAAAGACGGCGGCGGGATAGTGACCACCCTGCAAGGCGATAGTGACACTGGTCACTACGGCCTTGCACTAACTCCACTGGAGCGTTTGTCGACGACCAGTGGCACTGGTTTGATAGTGACCAAATAGTTAATGTTTATGAACAAGTTGAGTTTACAGTTGTGTACGCCGAACGAAAGGGACCAGAAGTCTCCATATGATCATATGAAGAACATTCTCGTCACATGTGCAACCTGGATTGAAATCTCGGGCAGTTCTCGTCACACCATGGAATGATCACTTTCGCACAGTCATTTCACCTTGATATTTCTGTTTTATGCATGCAACTTGGTGCATGCTGCAATATCGTAGAGTTCAAGTCATTTCTAAATTGTACTACGTATTAATAATACTACTGTAGTATCATACTTCGAAGTATGCTAAGGGTGCGTCTGGTAAACGGATACTTCGAAGTATATTGCAATATTCAGGCCCAAAACGCCATTTTGGGGCCGAATTCAACAAATCTGATCAAAATTGGAACATATCTTGCTTGAAGAGTTTTAACCCAAATCCAATAATTCCACGTGGGATTTACTCGTTGAAGAGGTCCAAAACGCCACATTACAAAATGGACCTTTTACCTCCATTTTGAAAATGGTATTTTGGTTAATCCTATTGTGGTAGAAAATGGAATATTCTTTTTGAAATGTTACCAGACGCACCCTAAACGTTTTCCGACTAAGAGAACTTTCGAACTTACTCCAATCCTACAAGTACCATTTACAGTATTAGAGGATATCAGATAACTGGTATCATTTTAAATTTCTCGTAGTTTGTATTGTATCTCACGCAATGTTGCTTTTAACAGTCAATCGGACACGGCAGTAATCTGGTATACAGCTCGTCAACATTGAAAAATATAGTGATTTGACCGAGATATGGAGAAAGTGGACTCGATACTGACGACCATGTTAATAGATATATCTTGGAGACGTCGTCGTGAAATGGAAGTAACTCGGCACTGAGGAAGAGGTCCTATATTTGTCACACACTTAATGACGTTTTGCCCATGTCGTTGAGCAACGCCAAGGTAATTTTCGCCCGCCTAAAATGCATCACCATCACAATTGAAATAGGAACAAGTCGCATCAACCCCCAACTTAAGATGCGTCTTCGTGTTGTCTTCTTCTTTCCCTTGCTTGTTAGGCACATCACCTCACTTCGAA